TTGGCAATTCAAGCAATCAGATATTTAGTTACATTTTCAAATATGCAGTCCATTATTGTTAAAAGCTTGCCTGTATTTCCCTGTTCTTTTTGTTGCCACAAAAAAACTAAAGAAAATGCATTTGCACAGTATCCAATTCTATGGTTGTGTCAGTGCTCATGTGTAGCTCAACTAGCGAGACGGCAGACAACAGCCTTTACGCAATGGAAGCAAGCAACTAAGCATTGACCTAGTTAACTAGTTGCATGTTGAAACATGTTGTACTATAATCTATACGAGCCCGTCTTATATTGTTTTCATAAACGCAGCTGTTCCTAATATGCCTCTGCCCAGTCTGCCTCAGGTGCCACCTTTCAGGCACCCTTGGTTTCGATTTACTTTCATGTACTTCAAATAATTCTGCAAAAGTAAATGACATGTTGTATGAACTTGTTATGGGATATGCTTTGAGCCCCAGAACCCTCTTGATATATCTTTACTTGTAGTCAACCATAATAGAGCTGTTAAGGGGATTATGGATCTGTCATTCCTATTAGGGTAGCCTGCAGAGTTACAGATTATGGGCTGTAGAATAGGCTGTGCAGTGATGGTACAGTAAATACATTTAAAGGTAGACATACAGTAGAGCTATATGCACCCTCTGGACAATAAAACACCCAGGGTTTTCATTTTTGGTAATGCAAAAGTACTCTAATGAGTTACTTTTCTCAGTAAGTAATGCTGTAACATAACAAGTTTTTAATTGCAGTCATCTTGTAATGTAACAAGTTACTTTTAAAAGTGTCGTTACCCAATACTGGTTCCAATCACATTTTCCTCACTAACTCCGTCACTGAGTCGTAGGGATGAATTTAGTTAGCTGGACACAAGTTTAGAAAGGGGCTAATATTTATTCTAATTTTGCATTGCATTACAGAACCAGGACAAGGAAGCATGGATGTAGGGTGACAGGCTAATAACTTTAAAATCCCTGTGTGTCATTTCTAATAAATCAGAGGGTTAGGGGTTTCTACCCATTGTGTTGCATACGTGGCATTGCAATGTACACACACACACCCACAAAAGTATCCAAAACATCACACACACACACACACACACACACACACACAGTGCCACGTGTTGGCTTCACTGATTACTGTGTGTTGTGTTCAGTGGTGTGTAAAGTGCTGCCGCTGCGAGTATTAGCCTGTTTATCAGAGTGTGTATTAACGTGCTGCAGCGCAGGGGATGGAGGGATGGAGGGACAGAGCGTGTGTGTGCGCGCGTGCTAACAGGGGATCACAGGTGTGGTTGTAAGCTCCACAGAGAGCCTCCTTCCCCCCCATAACCCCTACGCTTCCCACCCTGAGCATCTTGGGTAATATCAGCCCACGGAGCACCTGCGTCCCTAACCCACAACACACACACACAAACACACACACACCTCTAATGGCCTGCCATACGGCTCTAATAGCCAGCTGTGTGAGCAGAAATCCAGTGGACCGTACCAACACTCACTGATGCAGTTGTAATATTAGATGTGAGTTAACTATGAAAAAAACTTTGTAGTCTAGCGACACAAAACAGCACATGAATGCATCCACATCATCTCGAATAAACTCAAAAATACTCTGATTGGATGAAAGTGTTGGACATCCAGCAAACAAATATAGGACAAGACAAATATTTATGGCAAGAGCTCACAGAATGTCAGATATTAAAAGGACAATTCTGGTTTTTACAACTTATTTTCATAGTCATTCATCTAATAATAATATTATACTATCCAAGTTTTAATTGCTGAGAGTCTAGCGGGACCAATCAGACAGTCCGACACAGTGTAAACAAAATGTATTTCGAAGCAACAAAGGTGAATGGTAAAAATGTCGTAAGTCTGTAAAAACAGGTTACTTACAGCCTTCAGCTGGTCTGTAAAGGCTGCTACCACAGTCAACAAGGGCCTAATACACACACCAGCACACCCACATTGTGGAACTTCAGCGCAAATGTTTACCACCTCCCTTTCTACACAGAAAATCATCAGCAAGCATTCACTTAAAGCCAGACTCTGAACAGAGGAGGGGTTGACAGATGGAGATACGGACAAGCAGAGGCAGATTTGTTAGCGTGGCACTTACTAAGTTTCAAATTGTTATCAGGTGCCCTGGCAAGTAGACATGAAGCTGCACAGAGTTAGCACAACTCGTAAATGAATCTGTTTCTAATGGTTAACATTTCAGGGAGATTCCTCATTGGTATGTATCAACAAATACAAATGTTTTTTTCTGGACATTCTTGTCATTTTCACCTGCACACAAGGCTTGAATTGACTTCCACATGTGACCAAGAGCTTGCTGCATTAACTCATCTCAGTGATAATGATGGTAACAAAAGCCCCTGCAGTGCTAACGCACAGACTCCACATGAGGTTGCACTTGTCTTCAGTCATGAGATGATGGACAACAGATTGTGAATCACATCCAGTTTCACCTTTGTCCCAGTAGTGACAGCTGAGAAAGCCTGCAATGATCCCTACGGACCGCCCACTCACATTGTGTCTTTTATCATCTGTCTGACCGTTTCTTCATTTGTGTTTATATCTCAGACAGTGCTCGGGAGTTAAACGTTGTATAGGAGATTTAAAAATACTTTTAAAACAGTCTGTGCCCCCCACCCATCTAATTGCATTGTACACTTTGAATTTTGCACGTTACAGCTGCTGTTTTTACATTCATATGTTTGTGGTTAGGTTGGTGGGGACTGTGCACTTTACATTTGCATTCGACAGCTGTCCTTTTTATTAAGTTTGTGGTTAGAGTATAGGTATGAGAAGGCTAAGGCATTTACATGACAACATGAACATTTAGCCCCCTACAATGCAGTACAAACACTTTACATATGACATGAGTGTGTGCGCTGTACTCCTGAGCTGCACACCTAAAATTTGTTTGTCGTGGAGACCTGTTTTGCTGTATTTTCTGTTGTACCTAATGATGTTGTTGTGATTGGTTTGTAATTGTTGCTTGGTTATTTGTTTGATCCTGTTATCTGATACTGTCTTGACTAGGTCTCACTTGTAAAAGAGGTTTTAACTTCAAAGTGACCTTCCTAGTTAAGTAAAGGTAAAAAAAATAAATAAATAAATAAATCAACCATCAGAGGATTCATTTAATTGAAATGAACTGTAGCTAGCAACTAACAACAAATGGAGCAACTTTTTGTGATGATTAGGGGCCGTTTGGTGCATTTATGGCCTATATAATTCATTATATTAAAGAGGTTTTCAACAGGCAAAGAGGGCAAACGCTTCACACAGAGAATACTTTGGAAAAGTTTTATCATTTTTTCATGTCCTGCCCACAACAGAAAGAACAATAGTTAAACATCAAAGTGGAACAAATCAGAAACTGTGTGTGCTCCATCCAGGACAGAGATGACTGTTAAACTGAAATAGACTGATAAAGCAAATAATGTGTTTTCATACTCTGTTCCCTCGTGGGACAAATTACACAAAACAGTGTAAGTGACAGTGGTTGGATCCCACGTATGATCACAGATTCAGTTCAGGTGGATTGTCAACATTTACATCACAATGTACATAAATGTCCAGTAGAAAACAGCTTCATCCCTTGTCTTCCAGTCTGTTTTAGAAATAGTAAACATTACGATCAAACTTAAACTATGTAACATTTCAGTTCAAACTTCTTCAGACTTGCTCGTCCCCTTTTGTCACATTTACAAAAGACATTTGTAGTCATTTCAAAGAAAATAATAACAAAACTATAATAATAATAATAATAATAATATTCAGCTTTCAGTAAATATAAAGTTAGCAATAAATATTGATGGGAAGGAACTGGAGTTCTGTCAGCAAGGCTTGAGTTTCCCATAGAGCTCAGTTGACGCAGGGACCTCCTAAAGCAAATTTATATATACTATAATTTTTCACAGATTACAAATGTAAAATGGCCGTCAGTTTAGATTGAGTTTGGGTTGAGGTTCTCGTGTTTTATATCCCTGCATACCTCTATTTCCCCTAAGGTGAATGTCCTTCTAACGAGGTACCGTGGACCTCGTTAGATGTCAGTACGGTTTATGTTCGGTGCCAATGCAATTGCATCCATCCATCCATCCATCCATCATCAACCGCTTATCCTGCGTACAGGGTCACGGGGGGCTGGAGCCAATCCCAGCTGACATCGGGCGAAAGGCGGGGTACACCCTGGACAGGTCGCCAATGTAATTGCATGTCACCCTAATAAGAATGGTGATATGAGCCAAGTGTTTCAATGTGTTTTTATTTATTTATTTGTTTGATTGAATGTATTTATTTATTTTTTCTTTTGTCCAGAAAAATAATGTATGTGTGCTTTGGGAGGATTTTACTCAAAAGCTGTAGTGAGGAGAGTTTGTAAAGATGGCAGCAGAGTATACTTGTTGTGTTCTCAGACTGCTGTGCCACTGCAAATCCAGATTTGTTCATTTATTGGCATCTACGTCCCATCAAGGTGCTTGTGATTCATAGTGGGACTAAAATTTTCCTCAAAAGTTGCTTGAGTAGTAAACAAAGTTTACTTATGGACCAGAGACTGAAACCAGTTTCCTCCCTTACAGTATTACTGGTCACAGACTCATCATTTTTCTTGTGAGAACACGTCAAATTCAATTACCATCTTAACTCCTACTCTACACTTACCTTAAAGGAAATTTATGCCAAACTCTAACAAGTATCAAACATTTTAACCTGTAAACATAAAGAACAAAAACATACATAAATAAACATAAACCAATTGTTAGCTTAAAAAAAGAGGCTGGAGATTTGTATAGTGGAAACTTCTTCTTAAACCACTCCTGCAGTATATTCCACTTCTCAACTGTCCAGGCATTTAATCAGTATCCATTCGTCGCTAAATACACACCTTCCATGTTTAACTATTGCATTTAGACAATGATTGTGAAGGAAGCTGTGTACAGAACTGTAAGAGAAGTGGATTGTGCTGCAGGAGTAGTTTACAGTCACCTTTAACGCATTTGCAGAGGCAAGTGTTGGAGATTTTGGCAATGTTGTAGTGATGATCTAGTGCTGACTGAATTGTATTCCCGTCCTCAGCAGAAAAATTAGGAGTATAAAGGAGAAATGTGTTTTTTCTTTAAGTGGTATTGAAAATCCTCTACAGGCAGCATCAAACCAAAAACACTTGTAGTATCTGGCGGCAGTGGTAGTATCTTTAGATCCCTTTTCAGTTAAACTTACTTCTTATTTTTCCACAGTTCTTCAGATATTAACGAGCTCTGATCACCAGCTCTGCTAAAGTATGAAAATGTGTGTTTATTCACAGGTTATCTGTCTGTGGGCTTCACAGTTTGATGGTGTCCATCTAATGTTTTCCTCAGTTCTCTCCGTCTTGTTTCTCTGCTGTTATCTCTGTTGCTCTGCAGAGTGGGGGCTGTCCAGACTGCTGTAGGGGGACAGGGAGGAAGTCGCTGGCACTGAGACTTTCCCATCATCCCCTTCTTCCTTCTCTACCTCCATTTCCACATCCCTTTCTTCTTGTCTGTTTCCTCCCTCTGTTCTGAACACCTCCGCTGATCCTCTCCCATCCTCGCTCGACTCCTCAGACGCAGAGAGACCCTCCTCCCCTTGACTCCCCACCCTGCCTACGCCTCCCTCGCTCGGACTCAAGCTGTCGCTTTCGTCCACCCCGGGGATGGGCTCTCTGACCTGGTTGTGGTGCTTGACGTTGTAACGCTGGTTCTGGAAGAACTTGATGATGGTGTGCTTGGGTAGATCCAGCTGGGCTGACAGGGTGTGAATGGCCTCCTGGTCGGGGTAGAGCCCCACATCGCCAATGAAGCTCTGCAGGATTCCCAGGGCCTCAAGGGAAATCCGTGTCCGCGAGCGGGCCTTCTTTGGTCCTCCCCCTCCAAGGCCAGGGCTCATCCCACGCTGGGGCCCGTCTTCTGAGCCATGCAACACCAACGATGGGATGGGCTGTGGTTCTTCGTGAATGGGAGATGGCGCTGTTGGAGGTGGTAGGGGCTGTCTGTGCAGTGCCTGTTAGGAAAAGAAAATTCAAACTAAGAAACTTAAAGTATATTTTTTATAAAAGACACTGGTTGTATATGTAAAGACGTTACTTAGAGAGTTTTAAAGGTTATCAATGAGTGTGTTCATTCTTCACCTTGGAAACAGATTGCCAAAAACTAAACAATTTTAACTGAAGTCCACTTACTTTTTTTTTCTTGAAATTTCAACTTAATCTCACAGTCTTCATCAGCATACATACGGGTCTTTCCCCCCCTATCTGAACACTTGTATTTACACTTGAACTATTTGCCGGCAAACTCCATTCACTGATAAAGACCATGAGATGCAGTTGAAAGTCTGGAAAAAAGCGTTGAGAGTTGTCAGACGCTGTTACTACTGTTAAAAGTTGTGATACTGTACATTTGGAATAGCAGTAAACAAATGAGAGCGAGGTGGAGAGCAGCCTCTGTGAAATACTGGTTGTAATTAAGCCCTGTGTTTCTCAAAGTATTACATTTCTGATAAGCTGCTTTGTTTTTTTCCTGTCTCTTCTACAACTCTCTAGTGTCTTTTAACTGGTGTTTTGCCTCAATGCTCCCACTGCAGCTTTTTACAGTACCTTTTCTTGTACACTTTGTCAACTTCCACCAACCTCTTTGTTGTTTGTCAGATATTTAAAGTTATGTTATACATGTGGCACAGCTGGCTTGATGCCACCACAGGAACCTCAAAGGAAACAAACATGTTTCACTAATTTGTATCTACACAAAATGCTTCCTTTATTGGCTGCAGTTATCACCATTATTAAAAAAGTTTTAATATTATTGATAAGGGTTAAACGTTTTTTCAGGTTTCCCCTAAAACAAACAATGTTCTGTAGATATATTCTGTCTGAGTGGTTTCCACAACATTTTGGAAGAAAATAAATTAGTACAGCTCCAAACCATTATGCATAAAATTTCCCACCTCAAATTTCATGATCTGGGACAGACTTGGGGATACTAAAGCTTTGAGTAAAGCCTCTCATGTCAAGTATACTACATGAATAAAATGTAATTTGATTTGCCTAATATTAAAAACAAAAACTTTTTCTGCAATTGTTTTTAATTTTCCAACTATCATTACTTTTGTATTTGTACTAGTTGCACTAATTAAAATAGTAGGAAATGCAGCAAACAAATATTCAAAGTTTTACCATGTTAAGTGATTTTCACTTTTTTTGTTGTTGATGTTCTGGACATCTGCACATAGCAAAGATATAAAGATTTTAAAACATTTTTTGCCCAAAGGCAAGAAAGTTGTTTGTATAATTTGGTAATATTAACAGTGTATGGCAATGATTTATAGTTCCCTTTAAGTAATTTATACACAGATAACTTAACAGAAGCTTGGTAAGGACCAACACATCCATTACTACAGATTCAACAGTTCAAGACAACAACTAGATGTAGAGATACTGAAGTTTTATCCAGCGTTTCCATCACAGTCTGTGTACCTCGCGATGTGTAATTACAATATAAACCTTAAACTCCTCATCAGCAGTGTAATAAGGGAACCACTCAGCTCCTCTTTCAGTGCCCCTCTACAGAGTCATTAACGGAAATGTAGTACCAGCGGAAGTGGGACTGACCAGCTTCCATCGCCCTCCAACATGCACGCTAAACTCCCAAATTCATCACACAAACAACCACACTACTAGAGCTCATTAACAGGGCGGGGTGGCCAGCACACCCAAACACAGGAATCCAACACCATAAATCTGTGGTCCATCTGAATTAAAGGGCCTAAATAAAGATAATGGCAATTCCTTTTTCTCTGCTTCAATAATTACAGGGTATGTCCTGAATAATATTGAGGTTAGGGTCAGACTGCAGAGCATTTTGGTTTCGGAGAGAGGGTGGGATGGAGGAGGAGCGTTTAGCAGGAAATGTGTGGGCAGGTCATTTACCACTTCTATTTTCAATGACTTATGGGACACAAATATGACAAAGAGGAGGGCTGCTGAGAGGAGCAGGTGGTAAGAACAGACAGAGGAATCTTTTCTAAACAGCACATGAAGAAATCACATGTTGCGTTCTCTCACCCATAAAACACTTAGGTTATGTTATTTGTGATTTGATTTGTGTTCTTGCATATGGCTGCAGTGAGGTCGAGTGGTTGTGTATTTTTAAAAATTGGATTTTCACACACATTTCCCCTAGTTTTAATCTTATTAAAAAAGGAACTCAAAATAATGATCCGAAACTACTTTACCATTGTTGCGGGACAAAAAGACAACAAAACTATATTCTAGGAGAGCACCGAACCCCGGCTACTGGCTGCACGTATGTACCTGCTGGTCTGGGATGTGCAGGACAGTGTGGAGCCTGTCGCTGTGCTGCTGCCTCGACTCCTCTTCGTAGACCTGGTCTCTTTCAGCTTGCTTTAATGCCAGGAACCTCCTGATGGTGCACAGGTTCTCCCACAGTGTGCGGTTCTCAGGGCTCGGGCTCTCTTTCCACCTGAGCAGCTCACACAGCCAACCCTGGAGGGAAAGCACAGTCTGTTTCCTTCTCCGATGAAAAAGAAAGGTTTGACCGACCCAAGAAGAAAGACCTGATGCATGTGATTGTTTGTTTGTTTGTCCACTTCTGCAGTCAGTGTTTTTGTGACTACGTTGTGTTTGCTGACAAATGTGTTGCTAGTTGGACGGAACACTGTACATCAGATACTCAGATATCTAATTCAGCACTTTCAGTGGCTTTCCTCATGCTCCTCTGGGTTCCTAAACTGATTGGAGTCACACACCGCTGTGTACAGGTACCTGACTTATTCAAATATAATCATACTGTTTTAGTGTTAGAATAGAAAAGAATATAGAAAGAAAAAAAGCAGAAGGAAAAGGTCTGAGGAGAGCAGTGAGTGTCTGCAAGTCTGCGTGTGTGTGTGTGTGTGTGTGTGTGTGGATTGGATTATCTCTGCTAGGCTGACCCAGGATCTGTCACCAGCTGTTGTTTGTGCGCAGCCTTCAGCCTGGAAATTAATGGTAATAATGTGATCATCCCTCCATCATCTTGTCTATCTTTTCCTCCATCTTGCATCCTTCTGTTCCTCCTTCTCTGCTGCCCCCCAACTCCCCCATCTCCCATCCCTGCTTTATCATTTCAGACGTTTTTTGCCTCTCACACATTAACACACACTTTCTCTCACACACTTCCTGTCTGTGTTGGTAATAAATTACTCGCATGAAGTGTTCTTAAAAAGAAATGTGAAGGCATTTAAACTCGTTTTGAAACCATCCACTTCCTCTCTGTCTCCCCCTCCCTCTACCTCCGTGGCAGACTCCGCTTTGATCTCGCCTTCGATCAGCCGCAGTGTTTATCTGAGGATGGAGACATGATACCACCGCGGGTAACCAGATACTCCACACGCCCCCGCAAACACACAGTCACACACCTGCATGCTGTGCCCTCATCAACTCCTTCAAAGATCTTCAACCCAGCCCGGAACTGTGTACAAGGATGTATTACACCAGGTTTGTGTGTGTAAACTGATTTTTCTCTGTTGAACAACTGAAGGCAAGAGTTCAAGAGTTTACCTCCAATCTGAAAGCACTTCACTTGTTTCATTGAGACTGACCTGACTTTTATTGGCAGCCACTTTGGCGAACAGAGCCTGGGAGACCTTCGCCCTCTTCATCTCCTGTTGGATGTCTTCGTAGATCGCCGACGTGATGTTCACCAGCGAGTCCAGCTTCAACGGCAGCTCTGCACCGGTCAGGACGCACTTCGCCTACACAGAGCAGGACACTGAGATGAAACTTACTAATACTGTAGAGGTTTTTTATATTTACATGGTTACATAAAAGGTGAGATATAATGCATTATTCATCTCTTTTGTGATAATTCTCCTTTATTACTTACAGAATATCCATACTAAGAATTTCACATTTGAGGCCCTAAACAGTCAGCGCATATTGGCTCCCGTTACAGCAGATACAGTATCAGGTAGAATCTGGTCTTACATGTGTTCCTATTATTGGGTCCACCCCTTTATGCATAATTTTATATAAGTTATATCAGAATAAGTTTCTAATTTATAGCTAACTTGTCCATAACACACTGTGCAGCTCTGAATATGTGCACAACTTCATCATGAACTCTAGACAGAGGACACATTAAGACAGGAAATAATTTTAAAGATTTGTTTCTGTGTTTAATAATTTTTTTCCTTCTAATTTGCGTGTGAATTCACTCTTTTATTACTGCATTAAATAAATGTAATTTTAATGTTATTTTGCCGCTTTCTTAAGACTGGTCTTATTTACACTATTGTCATTTGTGCATGTTTGTGTCAGTGTAATTTTGTGCAGCAATCCAGACTGTAACAGAGTTATACAAGTTGTATAAAGTCTGATTTATTTCTCTCACTGCCCCACATGCAGAGCTGGTATTACTCCTTATAACTGTGCTGTCCTGTGTGTGTGTGTGAATCTGTGTGTATGTGTGTACCTGTGTGTGTCTGTGTGTGTTGGTGTTGGAGATGTGGATGGTGGAGTGGTTGTGGTTGGCGTTCGTGCTCCTCTCTCTCTCCTCCTGATAGATGCGGTCTCGCTCGCCCTCTGGCAGGTTGAGGAAGTTCTGCATGGCCTTCAGGTTGACCAGCAGCGACTGTGAGGCCGAGCGAGGATCCTCCTCCTTACGAAGGATCTCTGACAGTAGCCCCTACAGCCAATCACACACAGTGTTACTCACAAGGTGTGAATGTCATTGCATCATCTCTGGAACACAGTAAGATCATTTTATTTCCATTTACCTGTGTGCGGTTAAAAGCCACACGGGCGAACACGGCCTGGGAAATGCTGGCCCTCTTCAGCTCATTCCTGACTTGCTGGTATATGTCGAAGGAGACTTCAGCCCCTGAGCAGTTGAGGCTGGGCTCAGTAGTGGCCCCAGAGCCCTTGCATGTCCGTGAAATGGGCGGATGGTTGAGGAACCGCTGGTCGACTGCCTGTGGGTGCTGATGGGCGAGTAGGCGGCTGACTGCTAGCTGCTGGTTGATTAGGTGGGCCATGGCGAGCTGCTGACGGACAAGCTGTGGGGACAGGAGCCCACTGTGGCCCATGAGAGGTGAAGCCTGCGGACGCAGTGGAGGACTGGGGTGGTGCTGGCTGGTGGGGTGAGGCAGACAGTGAGGCTGGGTGGAGGTCTGAGAGTCCCCGAGGCCACTCTTGATGGACAGAGCTCCCGGTCCGCCCAGGGTGCCCAAATGGGTGGGGGAGGGTAAGAGAGAGGGAGGACGCTGGCTGAGGACGCTCAGGTCCAAATCCCTCTCCACTGTATCAACACACACACACCCCACATATTTCAGAAAATGTGATTTATTAAATTTGTTTTTTAACCAATATCTGATTCATAAACCTTAACATGCACTCTAATTGTACATGGATATGCAGATTGAGCTTTTAACCTCTTCCATTCATTCTGTCACTGGATTCCAAAACTCCAACATGGAGTTGCATTATATATATAATATTTCACTAGAAAGTCATCAATAAAAGATGAACATACCTTTTATTTCTGACTTGTCCTGTGCTGACCACATCTTCTCAATATATTCACCTGAGGGGAAAATTTCAGAGTAGTTTGTATATTGAGAGCCCTTCATTTTTCCGCGCGCACACACACACACACACACACACACACACACACACACACACACACACACAATGTATTTCAAAGCAACAACTAACATGACATGAAATTTTCCATCCTTCTGTTCTCACACCACTAACACAATAACATTCCTGTGTGCCGCTGCCGCCTAAATTATTAATTCAAATTAATTCAAAGTGCCACATATTCATATCATGTCTACTGCATGTGTAGCCTAACTGTATTGGTTATCCACAGTTCTATAAACATGGCTTATTGTGAAGGGGCGGCACAAGTCAAAAACAGAGATAAGGCCAAAGTCTTCATAGCATCACAAAGGACTGTGCTGTTGAAACCTTTCTAGGATGTTTTTGTACACCGCAGGCTGGTCTAGTGGTTCACAGGATGATCTCATAACCCCTAAGTCTTTGGTTTAGCGTAGCACTGAAGTCCCATTTTCACTCACGATCTCCAGATAAGATCAAATAACTGAAGAATGTTCCCTCTTTGTCACCGCATTGAACTTTTCTGTTCTCCTGGATTTTAACGGCTTCTCTGCTCGTCTCCGCATAAATCTGCTTCTTATTATGCTTCTACTGGGTTTGGTTGAGAGTCACATTTTAGGTTATTAGGGGAATAAAAGTTCGAGTGAGGTTTGGCAGGGCTTCACGTTTTTACCTTCCCAGTGTGTGTGCGTAGAATAAGTATAAGAGGAGCTCTTATTCCTGGGTTTTCACGGTGTGTGTGTGCGTTGGGGGGTTGCTGCTGTTTTCCATTAGGAGTTAAGAGCATTTAGTTTTGTCATGTGTATTAGGGGTGACATTAATGCAAACCATGTGTGACAGTTCCTTCCTACTGAGAGCTGTCACTGACAGACGTCTCATGCAGCAGATTAGACACATGCAGGCTGACACGTGCTCGTACACATACAGGGGGTGGACAGAAGAATGGAAAAACTTCATTAAAAAGGAACACATGTAAAGCAACTAAACTGCAAAAACAAAAGGCAGCCAGGCAGGTGAGTCGTATTAAGTCGAGCTGTGTCAATTTTCAAAAGAGCTCTGACAGTCTCCACCTTTATAAGTTTCCAAAGCAGCATGAGGCAAATAAAGTGTAAACAGCTGAACAGTTGATGGGTTAGGTGCAGGAGGGTTGGTCGCTGAAACTGTAAAAGTTTTTAACAAGGCAGGAGATTTTAACAAGGAAGCTCGTGCTGTCAAACTGCTGGATGGACGGACACTTGACTGAACAACAAAAGTTACCAACAAAGTGAAGCAACACCTGTAACAGACTGCGTGCGCACAAGAGCCCAGATCTCCCTGTGAGCATGTGTTGGAATTTTACAATAGAGATTTCTGTTCAGCTGTGGTCGCCTATTTATTTACATGTAGGGCTTCGACTTTTCACTTTATACTAAGATCAAATAAGATTTGATTTAAGGGGTGAGACCACCCCAAATAACAAAAACTTCCTGTGTTTTCTCACTTGTCTCCAGCTGTATCTAGATAGTTTTGGATTTAACTGCTGAGGTTTTGAGATATGTGTCTCGTTTCTGATATGTTTATCTCCAGCTGAATACAAATAGGAGCACAAAACCTGCAGCTAATGAGTCACTCTCCGCCCGAACAGATCTGTATATCAGTTATTTGACCATCCGGTGCCTTGTTCAAGGGTAGTTTTTGGTACATAGGGAAAGTATCACTTATTCACTTAGCGCCATAACGTTATCCACTCCTGTTTCATCCAAGGAAAATCCACTGGTACAGATATATAACAGAATGTATTGCTCTTAGACTTAGAAAATGGATGAGTGTAAGGTGTAAGAGTTACCTTTGATGCGTTTGTACCGCTTGTACCAGCATCCAAACTCCTGGCATTTAGAGGTGGAGACGTTGGCATAGTAGGAATTGTTCACTATCGCTGAGATCATACTCTGACAGAAAGAGAGGTTGAGAAATAACACATTTGAGAGAAATAAATGGACAATAAATACAATTACTTGAACACTTTCATTACTTCATTAATGATTATTGATGGTTAGATGGGATTAAGACCACATAATAACATAAAAGGAACTCTGAAATGTGAGAATATCCAGCATCATTAACCTCAGAATTCTGACTTTACACTCAAAAGTGAGAAATTCATCTAAAAACTACTCTAACGATTCAACCCAGAGTCAGTTTATGAAAAGCCTGTGTATAGTCTGAGGAGTGGCAGTGCCTTGAGACTGGGTGATGAGTTTTTATTACAGAAACTTGGAAATCTCAGGAGAGGCTTGACTCACTACGGACTTATTAAAACTCTTTGCTCACCCGCCCTTTCCCAACATGCACTGCGGTCAGTTCTACAGAACAGGAGATGCACACAGAGTCCAAAGTCCACAAGAGTAGCGAAAGCTCAACATGGGAAACACTGAGGATCCAAACTCACATGAGTCAGGCTGCAAACACACACCACCCACACACTTCCCCTAATCACTAATTACATCATGACTAAGTCCTGTGTATAAATCACAAGTCGAAATGACACACTCTCAAGTCAAATGAGTGTAGGGTGTGTGAGCAGGATAATTGAGGTGTGCGTGTTTGCATCCTTTCCCATGGGACGATATCAATAAGTGTGTGTGTGTGTGTGTGTGTGTGAGAGAGAGAGAGAGAGAGAGAGAGAGAGAGTTACTAAGTGTGTGGTGAACTGATGATGAAACCACATGTGTTTAGAGAAAATAATTAGCTGCATCTCTGCTATCTGTGTGTGTGTGTGTGTGTGTGTGTGTGTGTGTGTGTGCGTGACAAAAACAGAATCAAACCCAGATAAACATTTCGCTCTCCACAAGGAATCTCCTTAATTGCCAATTGCACAAATGTTTAATGAAAAATGAGTTATCAATAGCCTGTCACCTGTCAGCCAAGATCTCGGAAAGTATGAATAAAGAACTAAATTAATTTGAATTTTTGGGTAGATTTCCACAGAGTACTACCACACGTGATCTTTTAGCAGAGTATATGAAACTAAAACTACTTTCAAGGCATTTAATACTGTTTATGTTAATATATTTTTTACATCAAACCCAAATTCTTGCACATTTGTTTCAAGGATGTAGTGATTTCTTCACACCATCACCAAGGTGAAACTGATTGCTGTTTCCTGATTTCTTCCTCGTTTGCAAGACCGCTTCCAGACCAAGTGTACATATAAAACAAACATGCAAAAATGTCTGAACGACACCTGTGTAGATTTATTTCAAAACATAATTACCATTTTTAATAGCCATTTATTATTAGCATTTGTCATTACATTTTGAATTTGACCGACTAACAATCAGCACATTTTTCTAATTAGTTAAAATAATTGTTAGTTGCATCAAGAGGTGCATTTTGCTGGGGCTGAATAAACCAGACATTATAGATATTTATTGTGTTGCCACAGTTGTTAAAGAGCTTCCCTGCTCCTCACTATATTTTTTATTCTCAAGTTCCTTTCCAAACAAACTGGAAACATGAAACACATTGCCTCACTTGTGCCAGGACTATTCACTATGGGTATTTACAACAGGTGTGTGAAATGGAGACTTTGTGTACCGTAGCTGCTGTGGCGCTGGTGGGAACTTACCTGGGAGAGGGGACACTCCTTGGCCAGTGTGCTCTGGTTGGTCTCTCTGAGCAGCTCTTTGAGGGCGTTCCTCACTGTGGCGTGGGTCCACTGCTCAGCTGGAAGCTCCTCGAGCCGCGCAAAGCTGCGCATGTGAAAAGCTTTGTTGTTATACGCCAAATAAAACTTTCATTCACTCAGGCCAGGGCTGTAGGAGGCTGTCACATTGCTAAAACCAACCAACAACCTGCTATAATCATTATGTACATTAATTTAAAGGAGCAGTAACAAGCATTTTGCTGTCAGAAGTATTTTCCCTGTTTTCAGCATTGTTTTCATGGCTTTTTATTTATCTTTTAAAGTTAATTATCCTGTTGAAAACAGGCACCTTTTTCCAGAAAAAACACCTAAAATAACATACCCAAAATGAATCAGGAATAACTCCTCAACCATTTGGCCTAGATGCATAATTCTGGTCTCCTTTGAAAAGTCAGACGCTAAGGAATATAAATCCATTGTATATTAATATATTTATTTTACTATTACAGAATACATGGAGATGCAATTAAGAAAAAATCTGATATTTTCATCCTCGCCTGGTAAAAAAAAGCTATATTTTAATGCAATAAACCATCAAAACCATCATAAGGAAGCTTATAATGCAACTGAATATCTTCTAATATACCTAGAATGCAATTGTAACTGTAAATCTGATGAAAAAAAACTAAAATACAACAGTTATACAACATTTTCAAAATATACCAGGCAAATGTCCATATTTTGGCACTATTTACTGTTAAAATGTTGACTTTTATCGGTAGATATTTTTAAAACACATTTTCTGTCCATACAACCAAGTTCCAAATGACAAAACATTGAAATAATGATAAAAACAGTGAGTATTCATCAACATTCCCGTCACCAAAAGCACACCCATGTTTACAGGCCTGTAGATTGAGAACGGAACATCCCACAGTGATGAGGGGGGCATCAATCGATCCGGCTTGAGCAGACCTTTCATTTGGTACTTTGGTTGCATGTCTATGTATCTCCAAGGGGTCGGCCACAAAATGGTGAAAAACACAGTGTGTTCTTAAGCGGCATGTTTCCTCTCTGCAGAAATGTTGAGAGCAATCAGGCAGCTCGCAGGTATTGCACAATAATCAAGATGGCGCCCGCTTAGACTCGGAGCAACAACATCGGCGAAAAAGTCGACTACAGCACCGTTGCCCCCGGTACCGGGGGCATCTGTTTTCAACAGGTTATTATTTCTGCTTTCTTGTTGTGCCTGCCAATAACAATCCATACAGTAAGCCGAACTTGCTGCATCAGAATGTATTTCAGAATTTACACAATTACAGTGCTTAAACTTTAAAGAGGTGGTATTACGCTCATTTCCAGGCTCAAAATCCTATTTAGGGGTTGTACCAGAACAGGTTTACATGGTTTAATTTTCAAAAAAATCCACCATATTTTTTGTCATACTGCACATTGCTGCAGCTCCTCTTTTCACCCTGTGTTGAAGGCTTCATTTTAGCTATAGAGTGATACATCTTGTCTCTAAATGATCTGTCTTGGGAGTTGCACATGCGCAGTTCCTAGTTCAGGACTACTAGCCAATCAGAAACAGAGAAGAGCAGGTCAGCGAAAAGACGGTAAACAGCTTCGATTCAGCTGTAGGTTGCCAACCATGTTGCCGACCAGCTTGGCAATATGGACTGGAACAAGAGTTTCAGAGTGATGAGTTATTAATCTGTAACAAAAGTGTCTTTCATCCATAAAGTTTTAACTGAGCTCTGTCTCTACGTCACAGTAACAACTTTATGTCCAGTTACTGCTTGGAGGGTAGCTAGTGTTTGGAAGGGAGAGGAGAGGTGTGCTGCAGCTCAGTGTTTTTCCACTGGTGTTTTTGATGGCGTGTCGGACTTGTCGCTCAACGACTTTCTTGTGACATCACAAGAAAGGAAAGTAAAGGCTGGACTACAAACGAGCTGTTTTTAGGCAGTTCAGAGCAGAGTTTTCTGTGGTAGATGGAAACTCCCTTTGGGGTGGACTTTAGGCTTTTTCACTTTGCAAACCTAGTACATACACAAAAAAGATATATAACTCAATAAAGGAGAGGGAAAAAAGCCAAAAAGCATAATATCACCTCTTTAAATTAACCTATACCACAGCTTGGGGGGCCCTGGGGTAAACACTTGTTGTTTGACCTCTATGGACCCAACCCCCCTCCCACCCCTGCTCCTGTCCTGTGTGCATTGTGTACTCTATGTATCCAGTCACCGTCAAGTTTCCATCAAGTACAGTTAACACAGCAGACTACACATGACAGCTTCATTACTGAAAAGTCCCAAACAAATCACAATTGATTTGTCATCCAGTCATGTCCTGTAAAGTGTTGTAATAGTAACCACTGACGAGGGGAAAAAAAGGTTTGTAAAACTTTTATGCTGATTTTTGTTTGTATGATGAGTCTAAATGAATGATATTAAAAACCAGTCCATAATAACAACAACTAGCAGCTTAGCCCCATCTCATTCCATACCATATCATGTGAAATAAACCTAATACACACACACACACACACACACACACACACACACACACACACACACACGGCTGACCTGTGCAGTAGGATCCGCAGTGTGACCATGTGGTAAACGTCCAGCAGCATGTCAGCCACTGTTGCCTCTGGAGCGTCTGTTAAGTAGTGGATGGGCATCGGTTTCCACCTGCCCACTTTAATGATGCCTGGGGAAAACAAACCAACAGGACAACAAATGCACAATTAAATCACGTTGTCACCATCTGTTTAAAAGCATTCATCTAAAATAAGAATACTGCATTGTTAGAATCTAGTTTTCCTGTTCTTGCGTTTTCTTTTCGACGTAAACCTAACCTGCTTGTGTTGTGTGCGTTGAGGAGCTCTCCCAGTCTTGGAGCATCACCATGGGGTTGAACATTCCCCGGGCCTTCCCACAACCATGACTGGAAGTGCAAATCTAAACAGGCCTAATCGCGTTAGGATCTGCTAAATCAAACACAGACCCTGCCTGGGCTCGGCCTGCCAGCCTCAATCTTTGTGTCAAATTTGTGTGTGTGTGTGTGTGTGTGTGTGTGTGTCTTCGTTGCATGAGGATGGTAGTGATAGGGGCAAAAGAACAAACGCGCTCTTGGGTCTCTACAGTTGATTAATCAGAGGAGAAATGTAAAACCAGCTCAACATTAAAGACTGAAGCAGGCTGTGAATGAGAGCGGCGTTTTGATGTTGATGTACTGAATAAATACTGTGAGGTAATGTTTTCTTGTCTGACAGCACAATATTTCTTCTCAAAACTGGCAGTTATTGTGTGTCCTGCAGCTGACTTTGCTTTAAAAACGATTGTTAATACAGTACTTTCACATGTCATCAACAGGTTACTGACATGAAGTTGCAGACATCATTTCAAACTCTCCCTGGCCCAAAATAAATTCAGTGACAGAACTAAAAAGTTATATCGTCAGTGCGATGAATATTTTAGCATTAACGAGATTAATCAAATCTCATTTTACCAACCAACCCACAATTATCTCTAGAGCCCAAATGCCATAGATTGAAATGGCCAATATTATCAGCTGATTTGATATCAACCATATCAGTATCTTGTATCTTGCTTACATGTTGGCAACTAGATAAAATGATCTTGCAGTACAAAAATGCCAAAGAATTGTTTGGGGTCATTTAAAAAATAGTGGATCCATAACATTGTTTGTCCAGAGAGCACATTGGAAGATGTCCCCCTCACTACAAGTACAGTACATTTTTTAGTGTCAATTCTTTAATGACACAATTTAAACGATCTTCATATGTTCATGTTTATTTTATAATACTTTATTAATCCTAGAGGAGAAATTTGTTAGTCCTCTTTTCTTAAAAAGATTAATCTGCTTTCATATGTTGCCCACATCTCCCTTTTTTTTCTCCACAGATACAGTTGTATTGGCATTGTGCTCATTGGTGGTGCCTTCCCTAGTTGAAAAACAACAGAGCTGGATGAGACTGCCACAGCTGTACAGGTTGCTGTATGTCAAGTTGCAGAAACTCTTATTAAATAAACACAAATTTCTTCCAATGTTATGAAAATATTTACTACTCACAGCTCACTCCAGTTTTGAAATGATGCAGGAATATAAATGTAAGATTAACATTGAAGCATTAAAACAGCTTTCACAATAGGAAATGTAGGCTATTTAAGATATTATCCTATATTGAGATATTGTTTCTTAAGACAAGGTTTGGGTTATTTTAAGATCCTCTAGTGGTTTCCAGCCTTAAAACATGGTAAACCGCTATCTTTAAGTGAGTAATATCCAGTGTTGGGCAGTAGCATCGCTACAAGTAGTACTAATTTAACTACATTTCTCAGTAGCTTGGTAGTAGCGTTGCTATTTTCTGAATCAAATAGCTTTTCAGTTACAAAACTCTTTTATTGACCTAGTAGCGCGGTAGCTTCCACTCGCTACATTTCCCCAAGCATTTCTGATGGATCAGTAAGTGACGCCAACGCCACACACGGACCTGTATGTGCAGCCGGCAGAAGCGCAGAAACCTGTTTCCATGAGATGAGCTCTCTCTCTCTATCAAAATAAAAATGACCTAACTATAAAATATAAAAAAAATTAGCTTAGATGTAACTAAGCTACTTTTAGAAGAGTGTAGAGTAGCTAGTAGGTTAGCTCTCTTCGTTTTCCAAGTAGCTTGCCCAACACTGGTAATATCAGAGAAAGCTTCCCAAAACATGTTTTTAAGTTAAAGTTAGTTTGAATTTTTGCTCAGTAATTCACCTAAGCCCATGTTAAACCCAGAGCAGAAACCAGATACTAAATAAGAAATAGCTTCTTTTTAATTAGCCATAATGTTCAAGTTAATTAAAGAAAAATCCCTGTGCCAGTTAAGAGTTTAAAAATACTTGTCCAGCCAAAGTTATGCAAGATGCAATTCAATCGTAGAAGAAAATAGAAGAGACTCTGTATAATTTTGGTTGTGACCACACTGGGGGAAAATGCATGACTCCAGCCAAAAATTATTTATTTGAAAAGAAAAGGCTTATTTCTCAGAACAAAACCTAGCCATTTGGGGGAGGCAAGGGGGGTCGCAGGGCGTCGGCCGCTCGGTTAGAGTGCCCTGTGTTTACGGGACACACCAGGAATGTCAAACTGCCCTACTCTGTGTTTGTGTGAAGGCTGTTGTTTCATGATTGACTGGATTCTGTCTGCCTTCTTGGTTTGATCTCAAAAGGATGAGAAAAAAAAAGGTTTTGATGCTGGTCTGAGACGCGCAGATACAGACTTAGTGTTTAGGGGGGTGAACTGAAATCACAACAGGAGATAAGTGTTAGAGTGATGAGACAGATTTATCTTTAAAATACCTTCCTGGTAAACAACTTCTCTGTATTCATTGCACCCATGTGGCAAACCCCGCCCATCTGGAAACCAGTTATGTTCTATTCAGCTGCTGCTGGAAATAATTAATTACTCATCAGTTACCAAACAAAGTGTTAAGACAGACTGAAACATGAGATGTTTCCCATTAGCGTGTATTAATGGAAAAGTTTGGATACCTATGTTTCCCAGTTGTGACGTAAAGAGGCAGAGGCTGGGGAAGTTTTGCCAACAAATGAGAGTCAACTAAATTTGTTTTAATTCTTGTTTAATATGTAGTCATCAATAACTATGACCAATGACATCACTGAAGCTTGGGATTTGGGTTCACTGCTCGCCCTCATCTTGAGGCCAAGAAATCCTAATTTTGTCAAAGTGGAGGAGGCCTGGGTGGAGCTGAGCAGGAAGTGGAAACCACCCTGGCTGTCAATCAAGCAAATATACCTTAAAACAAAGTTCTCTTTAAGCCTTAATATTTTCTTGATGGAGCAACTAAAGTTACCACCAGAATACATTCTAAGTTGTGAATTTAGGTTTTAAGACCCTGATTTATTCTGGATTAAAGTTTGCTTTTCTAGACACTGACGATTGTTCCTTTGACTTCAACACTGTCGCACGTGTTCTTTCCAAACAGGATTTCTTTAATACTGACATTATAGTGCACTGTCAACATTTGCAGTGTGTCCTCTTGCTCGTATGGCTGAACTCTGAGCCTTTTTCATGCAGGGATAAACTATACTTAAACCTCTGAATCCAGAAGAAGGGATTTCTGAGCAGAAGCATAATTTCAGGACTAGGAGGAGTACCCTTCCCTGCAGATCAGCCCTTCATTAACGTGGGGAGTAGTTATCAGAGAATGCACAACATAGTATACACCGCTAAAGACATTAAGAGTTTGATGCATGTGATTGAGAGAATAAGACTAGTGAGTTTTTGCAAAGGTTTTAATTAGAAAGCAGATAAATCTCTAATAAACTTGTTTAATGTGAAGAAAAATGATTTATTGTAGTTTTGCTTAATATTTAAAATAATTAATGATTATACTAATAATGTGTCCACTTTTTAAAATAAAGTTCACTGAACTGAAGAGAGCCTGAATATATTGATTCTACTTACCACTTGCCTGTACAGCTGAACTGTGCGAGTATCCCAGGGCCACCAGTGCTGTCTCTACCAGCTGTGTGAAGAGGACGTCCTTACGGACCAACACAAATTCAGCATTACGGTCGCCATGCCCCTCACAGTCACCAGCTACGCCCACATCTGCATGCTCCACCACACAGTAGACTGGGATCATCAAACCTAGCAGACAGACAGAGAGAGTTATAGGAGAAGAGGGTTAAGCCCTATTAGGCCCCATTGGGACGAGCCTCTTGTGCGTATGTGCTCCTTGGAGTAAACAGGAGGTTGTGTGGCCCAGATCTTACCAGTGTTATGTGGCACATGGAAGTTGCTTAATGTTTTCCCAGATTTATATTCTCCATATATGTTTATTTTTTGGTTTTCCTGATGTTACTTCTTTTTTTTTACCTTTAAAGGGTTACTTTGGGTTTGAGTTCTCATGTGAACAACACTTTATTCACTTTATCAGTTTTAGATAAATGGAAGACAGGGTCGCCCAATCTGGTCAGGCATTCCTGGGGCAAAATGCATCAGATACAAAAAACACTTCACCAAATAACGCTGGATATCCTGCAGATAGCTGATGAATCCAGCTGTTCGTCAGAGCAGCAGCATCATGGTCTAGAAGTTAGTTAGTTCAGACTGTACGTAAATGACAAAGAAGTAAAAGCAAATTGGAAATCCAAGAAGAGTAAATGTTTCAAATGAAGGGGTGAAACATTTTCTCATCCTTTGCCTCTTTATTTAGCTGTGGTTGGGGGTCTATAAGTTACATAACTAGCGTTGCTAGCTCCTGATTTAATCTCTGGATCAGTTTGGAAAATGTTGGGGGAGAAAGTGAAAGGGGGATCCTTTTTACTCTTTAAGCGACTACAGTGGAGGTACAAAGCATCTTAACTGGTTCGGTGAGTCGGTCCATTCTGTTTTCACAGTTTTCACCGAGATAATTCAAGTAGAGTATTTTTTAGTTATATAGCCCAATATCACAAATTTGCCTCAAAGAGCTTTACAATCTGTACAACATATGACACCCTCCTTCCTTGGACCCTCAAATGAGGAAATTACCCTTGAAATAAAACGTTGTTGTGTGTACAGAATAGACCGACATAAGCTAAAATTTGCACTAGTTTGTCTCTAGAACTTTTATTTGTCAAAGTGTACACAAATCTAGAGAGGAGGAATTGTACTGTTTAAGCTTCTTCTTTATCATCCATGTTTCAGAGTTGTGAAACAGCATGTGTATGAAAGGGACTCCTACAGAAACCAAAGCTGACTGCCACATTTTTCAACTCATTTCTGTCTGTTCGGTGATGTTTGCCAATGTTGCTTCAGTATAGCTGCTTGGTGGTCTCGGTAGGAGACTCTGGTTAAACTGGGCAGCTGCCAGTGTGAATGTAAGGCAGTGTAGATTGTACAACTGTATTTGTGTTTGCACCACATATTAAAACCCACAAGGAATAAGACTTGTTCCCAGAACCGCTCTTAAAGCGCTATCTATATCATTTAGCACTCAGGATCGATGCCATAACTCACAGTGGTGAGACCGATTCCTGTACGTCGGTCTAGACACGGGCAAGTATTGAGAGCTCCTCCTAGCCTGGAACCATTCACACCCATCCAGTCCACTGCTCTGTCCCACAGGAACTGCTAATTAACAAGCTATCAATCCTCCTCCTGACGAGGCAGCGACACATCGGCCGGAGCCAAACCACAGCAGCATCAGGCACGCTATCGGCCAATAAGCCAACCACTCAGTGGAAGGGTGGAGGGAGGGAACCCAGCTGAATATCTGTGTGTGTGTGTGTGTGTGTGTACTATTACAATGTTTGTGTGATGATGCATGATGATGTTTTCAACTGCATGAGAAAATAATGGGCATATGTGCGTGAGTATTTTCTGTCTTCGGTATTTTAGAGTGTACATGCTGATCTGTAATACCAATGCACAATGTGTGTGTGGCCACCAATACCACAGACTGTAGACACCATCATTGTTCACATGTCCTTGGTAGACTATTTGGCAGTGACAGAAGTCTTTATGCTAGCATTTTAGCACATTTTGTAATGACTTATTGTACACTTTATTAATTCTCTCACAAACTGAGAACCACTGCCAAACTTGAAAGCAGGGTGAAAAGCCATGTTTCCTCCAAGACATTCATGGTGTTCCACAGGTTTGTACTTACAATAAGTGATGGAAGTAGTTGTGTCAAAAATAAAAAGGTTTGAGAGAGAGAAGTTCAGATGCTGCCAACTATCTCACAACTACCTTGCATGAAGTTTGTGTCACATTGTCGGTTTCAGAGGAGTAGGATTTGACATGTTTGATTAGTCCCCAGGCTGCCTCCGATTCATAATTGGAAAGGTGTGGATGAAGGGGGTTTTCAGATGATATGCATCCAACAAGCACTTGGACAGAGGCATACTGACGCCCACACATCATCTCATAAGTAAGAGATTTGTTAGTTTAATATTACAATTAGTACGTAACAACAAGTAGTACGTGTGTGTGTTAATGTCCCACCTCCTAGCGGTCTCAGCGGTGTGCCGTTCTGTCTGGTTCGCGGAGCTATTGGGCTGCCATTGACCTCCGGACAGCTCAACTTGCATGGCGGGGGGCCACTGGAGGCAGGGCTCACCCCTCTCTCTTCCGGGCTGGCGCTGTCCTGAAGGCCGGGGCTCTCTGTTCCCATGCCCGCACCTCCGCGCTGCTCCATCCCCCTGAAAACTCCAGGGGGTGCACCAAGCCCAGTGTGTGAAGCTGGGGGGAAACAGAGGCACTTGCTTTTATTTTTAACATGACATACAAGGTCACACCAAGGTACACTGACAAGGACACTCAAGTGAAGTGGCAACACCTGATGCAATCTATATTAATAAATGAATTGGTCACTACAACCCAGATTGTCCATGCAAAGTCCCAGTTCTAAAAGCGAACATTACATGCAAGAATAGCCTATACTACCTAATTTTCCATTGGGTGAAAATGGTAGTTTTCCCATTAAAATGGCATTTGTTCTTTTTTCCCCAAAAGTATTTCTTTTTAGAACTTTTAGATTTTTTTGGTATTAAAACAGTTAAAAATAAACGAAAGAATCCACAGAATTAGTTTTTTGAGTGCCTTGTATATCCCTGAAAACAGATGATCATGTGTATTTCACCACTTTTAAGACTTGAGTTAGAGAGGGATGGGGAGTATTTACTTACTTTATCATTAACTCTTCCCCAGAAGAAAACTCAGAACTGATATAACTAAAACAAGTCAACATGTCGCTTTTGTTGTTCAGTTCGTGTCTAACCAACCCGGTGAACACGTTTCTTTGTTATACACGTTGCTACAAGAGAGGCAGGGACGACCACAGCAGACAGAGAGCCAAGAGGCATCTGGGACAAATCACAGGTCAACAAATGGCGTTCACTCAGACTAAATACAGACAAGTATAACATTCACTGTTTAGACACAGAGGAGTAAACGACACGTTTTAATGACAGACGTGAGGGTGTTTAAGGATAGTATGAAACACTGCAGGCAAGAATACAAGCAAATGCTTATGTTCTCCTCTGGACTGATTTTATTCCACTTCAGCTGTATGCTAATTACATACACTATACTGACAAAAGTACTATGAAAACCCCAGTCCTAATTTTTGGTAGGTGCAGTTTTTTATGGTGTGGTCTTTAAGGGAAATCTTAATGCTACAGCATACAATTTTAGACAGTAATTCAAAAAACAGTTTGTGTTTGGCTTTTTCCCCTTTTCCTCTTTCAATATGACAATACCCCCCTGCACAAAGCCAGCTCCATAGAGAAAGAGGTTTTCCCAGTTTGGGATGAACTAGAATGGAGCTTATATTAATGCGTATGGGTTTAGAATGTGTTGCTGTCCCATTACTTTGGTCCATATAGTGTATGTCAATGAATGCTAATGAATGCACCACTTGTTACATACAGGTCTTTTTTATGATAAAGGTGGTTTTAACATCAACTATGTGTGTTAAAATCATGAAGATATCACAGCAGAAAATCATTTTATCAATGTGCTAATTTATGTGGCAAGGTGTTTCAAGTAATCAAATAATCTCATTTACATGTGAAACCTGTGGTTTAGGTATGACATTCCTGTCACAGAGCTACCATGATGACATAAGGTGAGCAGACTACTGTGAAGTACAATAGATATGATTGTTTTGGTTTTTTTGCTATACAAATTGACATAACAGGACATGAGACAAAGAAGGACATGCCAGTGGGACACAGTGCAAGACACAGCACAGTGCTGAATGACATGAGTGAACAAACACAGACATGATGACATGACACAGCAGGACAGGTCTGCAGTCTTTCGTCACTGTGAGGTGGCAGAGACAATTAGAAGTCTTTCGGCACTATAAAACCACAACTTGTCGTTTTTGTAAGGGTTAAATGAGATATGTGTTAATACATGAACTTTAAAAGGTACTGGGATTTTGTTTCCCTCAGAAAGAGCCAGGCTAGCTGTTTCCCCTTGTTTCCAGTGTTTATGCTAAGCTAAGGTAAGCTAACGCTCGCCTGGCTGTAGACTACTGCATAAAACAAAAACACACACTTCACTTTATACTATTCTATAAAACTAAATAAACAAAACGCAAACATTTGATTGTATTAGCTTTCCTTACAGAGCAAAATTAAACATCAAGTTTTCATGTTTGTTTGGTTTTAGTACCTCAGTAAAAACTATAAAAATGTTTCTTTGCTCTGGTTTACTGTCAGAGAACTCCAAGTTAAACATTTTAAAGTTAGCGAAGCCTCAAAATAAAAACTAAATCTATGAATAGTGTATCCAAAATCTGCAGCATCATGCATGCTATATAACCTCAGCACAGTATATATAGGAAAGCTGTCTGCTCTTTCTGCTTTGTGATTTTCCTCACACTGTGCGGTTTCCACTGGTATTACCGTAAAGCTGGCAGCGACACATGAGTCTGAACCCAAAAGCGACACATGATTATAATAAAACACACGTGCAAAATTAATAGCTGCTGTTAAAAAAGCCTGTCCAACACAAACAACACACAAAAAAACTGACAGTATGAAGCACGACTAGGGCTTATGAGAGAATGAACACCCATTGCAATCCGCCCTTCGTTACTACATTTAGCTGAGAAATTATATGATTGAAATAAATGTTTTTAAGAATTTGCCTTCACACTCATTGATTTGATTTTCTAGCACAGCTTTCCAGACAATCCCTTAAACACGCATAGAAGACAGATATCGAATTCATCTCTGTGCTTCTCATTTCACACTTGGATTGGGATGAAACTATTACCCATTGACAACAGTTTGGAGCGGGGGAGGGATACCCATTGCTACTCCTGACAGGTCGTTGCGGTAGCGTCTTGTCAATCACAAGGTAGCCAAGCCCAAAAGTGTACCCTGCTTTATCTCCATTTTTATTCTAAATGGAACCATAATTCACTAAATGTACATCATGCTGTGTTGACGAAGACTTGAAATATCAATTGAACTAATTAGAAGTGTTTACTGAGGAAATAAATCAAGTGAGAATAGGGTAATTTTCTCATAGACTTCTATACAATTGAACTTCTTTTTGCAACAAGTGGAGTCGCCCCCTGTTGGTTCAAGGCACTTCTGCATTGGCTTCACTTGTGATTGACAAGTTGGTTCCATAGCAACCTGTCAGGCGTAGCAATGACCCCGACCAAATCACTTCCTCTTCTGCCTCCTTTCAAAACACAGTGATGATCAGATAAACATAGTATGAAGACGAGAAGAACAAGGAACCAAGCAGAAAACGGGTTAGGGAGACGTATCACTGGAAAAGAAACACCGGGGGTGACTTCAATCTCAAAACGTTTTGCACAGGTTTGTGACGTTTTCTGATTGAACGGCATGTTTCCACAAAACGGCATGCAAGGTAGCGCAACGGGCTTTAAGGTATGTTTTCTCCCGATTGGTGCTGCGACAACTTTGTAAACAGGGGGTGTTAAAAAGGCAGGAGAAATCAGGGCGCTTGCATAAAAAACGGTTCAAGGCACCATGTTTCCGTTGAAATAAACATTTTGCTACGGTTTGTCGGCGCTGAACTCAGCCCAGGCGTGGCTTTTACTGCTTTCTTTGTCTATAGTGGCTTCCTGTGTGCTCACTGTAGATTTGTCCAAAGCGCCCTCTAGAGAACAAAGGCAAGTCCTCCTCTGTAGCAGTCCCCAGTGCATCAGCAAGGGCAAGGATTCCTCACAAACGTGTCCTGTTTGACATGTTTGATTTGGTGCAAGTAGAATTAAATGACGTTTTTCTATGATGCAAGATTAAATGTCAGTTTTGTAACTAAAAGACCACCATGTTGATCCTGCTGCTGATCTCTGGTCCTCTGGATGCAGCTGTCCCTCCCACGCTGCCTTTGCTAATTTACCCATCAATCCTTTATCATAAAACAGATTTAATAATTACCGTGCATTCTCCAGTGCACCAAACACATCTGAAACTTCCCCCAAAAATCTGCTTCCCCTGGTGAGACTTAATTTCACTCCAGGGAGGAAAATAACTACATGCTTTATTTCCATCTAATTCATTTCCTCAAATCAACGCACACCAGACAAGGACACAATGCCAATTAAACTCTTTTCATATTAGCTCAACACAGGTCCAGTCTAGAAAGAAATCCAAGTGTGTAATGATTACATTGCATGTCAACTTCTGACAATTACAGAAACCGCCTCTCTCGCTCCTTCAATTTGTGTTTGGTCTGTTTTTAATAAACACATTTTTGGAATATTTGGGGCGATTAATTATCATCAGTCCCCTTCCCTCCTTCATACTTCCCTCCTTCATACTTGAGGAGACATAAAATGTTAGGGGGGGTCTGTGTGTCTGTATCTGCTAGGTGGGTTTTTTTCAAACTCACAGAGCAGATACAGACACACAAACAGTACATACAGTAATAGGACAACATGGTGTGCCTTGGGTTTTGAGGTTGCTCACTTTAAGCTTTAAAAAGATGTTTGGGAGATTTTCACAGCGGTATTGATATTCCTTTTAGTTTTTCAGTTTCAGCACAATACAGCAGGACAATGATCCGAAACACAAAAACAAGGGGGTTTTAATTCCAGATTGTAGAATATTCTCGACTGGTCAAGTCAGTCGTGAACTCAAATCAAAGACCAGACTGAAAGCAAAAATCAAGAGCAAAACTTGAATCTGGCTGCTTCACCAGAGAAGATACCAAGTTACAGCTGATGTCAGCACGTCAAAGACATATTGGGCCTTTTTCACAGGAATCATTTTGACTTATCATAGCAGGAGAAGGTGTTAATAATAACATTAATGATGGCTCCACTCTACTCAAGTGTCCCAGTGAGCCATGACAGTGAGCCAGCATGTGCAATAACAGAACCCCGAAACTGAAGCAGCTAAATGGAATTCAGCTTTTGTTAATTGTATTATTAACACAGGACAAGACATGCAGCCACATACCAAATGATGACTCTGATTGGATTTTGTCCCCTGAACTTGCAGGTCTATGTGCAAAAAAAGGGCCCAAACTATTCTTCTGATGTGGAAATTTAAAGTGCCAGAGTACAGGGAATTCAACAAAATATGTCTCTTCCCTCATACTGTCTTTGCAGCATGTAATGAGGAGGCTCCGGGTTTTACCTAATGCAGTTTATCAGTTAATTCAGTCAACTTGCTTCTTGGAACAGGTCTCTTATTATGAAGTTAAAATTCCATTTCACCATTTACAATCAACTTCGCCATAAAAAA